AACAGCAAAAGATATGATCGTCACTGCTTGAGTGAGAAAGATCACATGGCTGTCATCAGCATTATAGAGGACATACGTTGCATGGGGGATGAAACACTATGCAGTCAGATATCAGCCCAATTAAATCAGCTCTGTGAGAAACACGACCCATTGTGAAAGGCAAGAGGGCACTAGCCCCATCAATCCATTCTGAGCCATCGTTATAATCCTTTTTGGATCTCGGCATCTACGGCATCAGAATTTCCAGAAAGAAATATCCGTTGCATTAGCAGAATAAGCACAGCTTGACGTCTGCATGGAAATAATCAGCAGGCCCAGTAACCATTCAGAGTTAGCATGTTAACAGCTGAGAGATTATCACCATCTTCTAAGGGCCAAAAATATCTGAGGTGGGGGCAGAGAGAGTGGTGGGGTGGATTTTGGATGACATTTTTCCTTTGACAGAACTGATGGAAGACCATGTTGTGATGTTGTAGTATATTAATGGTTGTGTTGCCCATGCCCACTGGTGGGGTTGTGGAATGCATGGAATGGAATCTACCTTTAATATCAGAACGCCATTGGTGGGCGATACTATTCCGCATTATATTGACAATTACAAGCCATTACAGAAAAGTTGATTTTTCAGTAGAACAATATGCAGACTTTACAATGCAAAACCACACAGTACTAGTATTACAAATAGTTAGACTTCTCAAAAATAATATAATGGTCTTACCATGGCCAGCTTTTACTTCTGACCTAATTCCAAAAGAACGGAGATAGAACCGTAGGACGAGTTTGCTACTGTCACAACTACGACCAGCAAAACGTTGACAGCTGACTGCAGCTGCACAGGAAGAGTGGTTGAACATCCCACAGGAGTTGGTCCAAAGGCTGATCAGGTGCCACAACTGTGATAATACCTAGGGAGATCATACCTGAGACGAACGCTGAATTTCATTTCATGATTAATATTTAACCTTACAATGATTCCTTAATCTGTATTTTGCACATTTATTCCACACTCCTAGGACAATACTTGATTAAAATTCCCAAGTCTCTAGTACTTTCCCAAGTCACCAGGAAACAATGAAAGTCTTGTTACTAATCAATTTAGCTGTAGTAAACTACCTACAGAAACCCATAATTTAGATTTTCAATGACTAATAACATGTTCTTTCAAGACTCAGACTAAGAAAAAATATTTCCCTTATGAGGAGGTGAAGGGATTGGAATAATGTCAGTGTATGGAAATAGTACTCTGCATCACAGCTGGAGCTATTCCAGATTTGAAATAGAAGTACACTCACGCTTCTGTGTGTCTTTATTTATTAAGACCTGAAAAGCCTGTAAATGTAATACTATGCAATTAAAGCTTTTTCCCCACTCATTAAGTTCTTCTTTAGCTCCATTTAAACAAGTATCCTAGTCAGGGTAAACAAGAATAAACCTTGAGGTGAGCATCAGTATTTCAGATCTTTGCATGATTTGCCTTTAGTATAATATTGCAGTTAGACCATTTAATTTCAATATTTTAAAATAACTCCATTTTAGGTGCATTATTCTTGTGTATAGTTATAATACCTTACCACAAAACTAGAGAACACCTCTAGCACAATCCAGCCCTAGCTGTAATGATTAGCTGCACCCCCACATATTAATGTTTGAATAGATGTTCAGCGATGACTTGAGATACAGGAGCACGACATGCTCTTCTCACAAGACAGCAAATCAAGCCATCTGTCCCTTTAGTTCAATAATTCCTTGCAGTCTGAATTTATTTCCTGTTGGTGTTTTCTGTCTATAAACCCCTAAGACTCAATATGCCCCAGTGTAGCATGCAGAAAAACATGTACCTGAAGCATGCAGAGAAACATTTCAACACTTATGTTTTCCTTTACATCATCATTCTTTCTAACATTACAGCAGACTGAGTCTGATCTGCAAGTTCTTTACAAATAGTATTCATGTGATTTGAAGTCTGGGTTACATTATTGTACATCTACTGTGTGCATAAAAGACAACTCAATCACAAACTTTAATTCTATCATGCTATCAATTTTAGACGCTTCACAAATCAACAATAAGTCTGACATTTAGTAAGATAGACAGATAGATAGACAAGACTTTATTAACCCCGTAGGGAAATTGATGTGTTACAGCAGTCCAGCCCAAGACAAGCGCAAAAACAGACATCAGAATAGTTATAAAACAAAAGACAACAAAATAAATATAAAATAAATACATAGGTGTGTGCAAAACGTGATGATCATAGTCACTGTGAAAACAATAAAATATGTGCAAAACGTGCATAGGTTTATACAGACTGATTGTCCAAAAAGTACAATGGAGCAAACATGCTGTCCATAGACGAGCAAATGAAGGGCAAATAGACGAGCTTGCTGAAGCAAGCACAGTGATGCCTTAATTGGTGCTTATCAGTGGGGTGTAGCTCTTGTATCTATTTTGTCTTTGGTGTGAACTGGCAGTTCCATTTCACAAAAGATGGTGTGAGATTGTAATCATAAACTATTTTAAATACCACGCCCAAAATGACTGCAGAACATACA